CAATTTTTCTTCAATTACTTCACAATTATGATCTTTGCTCTTGTATCAAGGTATTCTCGAATTCATCCTATATTGGAAGAAAAATAGATTAGAATTAACATAAGTTAAGTGATTTCATAACAATTCAAAGTATAATTATATCAGCTTTTTACCACTTAACAGTCCTAAAGAGGAGACTTCAAAAGGTTCACACACATCAGAATACACTACATGCAACAATTCAGTAGCCATCATATGCATGTGAGACTGGAAAACATTTCTTGGTTGTTTTCCAAACAAGTATTCTTCACACATTTTATCCGACAAAGATAAGTTAGGTAATCCAATCACCATGTTCTTGCCAGCTAGTTGTTTTAAACTTTGAAAATTTAAATGACCAAACCTCATATGCCAAATTCAATCCGATTTGTTTGAGATAGTGGTTGTAAACCACTGTTTTTCCATTTGTTGCAGTCTTTTTAGAATGTTATATTCTTTGACAAAGGAGACTTCAACAACAATCTTTGTCTTGAGTCATAAACTTTCAACAACTTATCCTTCATTGTAATTGAGAAGCCTTTCTCAACCAATTGTCGTACACTCAAAAAATTACACTTCATGCCAGGAACATATAACACATTTTCAATGATTGCTACCTTGTCTCCATCTCTTTTAATGACAATGTCACCTACACCTGTTGTTGTTATGGAGCTATTATCAGTCAGTTTCACTTTGCTTTGTTTACTGGTATCCAGGTTGGTAAGCCAGTCCTTGTGCCCAGTCATGTGATTGGAGAAACTAGTGTCCAATAACTAATTTTCTGACAAAATATCATCTTGTGTTGTGACCATGAGCACCACTGGTTCATCATCGGTCTCATGTTGAGCCACATAAGCATCATTTTCCGAATCTTTCTTCTTCTTTCCTTTTTCATACCAACAATCTGCTGCATAATGCCCCCATTTCTCACAATTATAACATTGAATTTTCTTCCTATCTTGATTCCACTTCCCATTTCTACCTCCTCTGCTATTCCTACCAGAGAATTCTGGTTTCTCATCATGTTTGGATTGTTCTTGATTAAAAGAACTCCTTTCTTTTTCAAATATACTACTTTGCTTTCCTTTCTTCCATCTTCCACGTGATGAACTAACTTTCTTGGAGACTTTCGCTTTTAAGGCTTGCTCTTCGCCAGTTTTGTCAGCATTCTTTGATAGCAACTTTAATTCATGGGCCTCTAGTGATCCCTGGAGCTCTTCTATCTTCAACTTGCCAATATCCTTTGACTCCTCTATTGTTACTACAATATAGTCAAATTTTGAGGATAATTTCCGCAAAATATTCTCCACCATATTTTGTTCTGTCACCACCTCTCCACAGGCTCTCATGGAATTTATCAACAAATGAAGCTTGTTGAAATAGTCTGTCACAGATTCTTGATCAAGCATGGATAACAGCTCGTACTGTCTTTTGAGAGACTGCAACTTTACTTTCTTGATCTTGTCATCACCTCCATATGCCCTTTGCAGAATATTTCAAGCCTCCTTTGTTGTCTGGGCTTTGGAAATCTTCTCAAAGTTGACAAGATCCACACACTGATATAAAAGATAACGTGCCTTGAAGTCCTTTTTCTTTGCTGCTGCATTTGCCTTTTCTTCAGTGCCTTCTTTCACCGTATCAAGAATTTCTTGATAGCCCAGAATGACTTCCATTCTTATTACCCAATGATCATAATTTTTTCCATCCAGAATTGGCAGATTAGACATGAAATTTCCCCCTCCATTGAAAGTCATCTTGTCCCAAATCTTACTGCTCTAGATACCACTTGTTAGCAGAGAAGGAAAAATAGAAAAGTAGATGACATAAAACTTCTTTGTCTCTTGTGTATTTTATATCAAAGTAAATTTTTATTTATAGAGACTATTTACAATAGACTTATTTACAAACAGCTAACAAATATAACTACTTGAATTAGTTACAACATATACCAACCTTTATAATTCATGTTACATTTATTCGAGCATTTTTTCAGTGTTGAAAGTCACCTTTAAAATTTAAAATTTATACTAAACTTGCTCGCATTTTCCATATGAAATTGCTTAGACGTGTTACAGAATTGGATTAAAAAGAGGAAAATCGGAGAGCATTCAAGCAGTAAAATTTTGGCTAACTTGATTGTTCTGAGATTAAAACTATTGAAACTAGTGCTTAGGCGTAGGACTTAGTTACTGAAAGTAGAAAATAAGAACTGCTCACAATAGACTGCTACAGAGAACGGAGACAGTAAAAATTATAAACTTGACCCATGCTAAGTCGCATTCATAAATAACAGGTGATCTAATGACTCCAACAAAAGCCTACATCACATGAAGCTAAAATCACAAGTAGCAATTGAAGCACATCATGTTCAGCCAACACTCTGTCACTGAAATTCAAACATTACTAAATCCTAAACTAGATAAACATCATTAATAAGTACATTTCAATTATGACTTCATACTGAATGTTATCAAACAAGAACAACAATAAATTCCCCCTGCAACCCTTAATCAATTCCACACATACAAAAACTAGATCACACTCTCATTCCATTCATTGGCTAAGCTACTTGATCATCAGTTTCAATATTGACATTGAACACCAAGCATCTCAAATCACGAAAAACACAAACTATAGAATTATTCCAATTCATTTATCTAAGCTCATTGATCAAATTTTCAGCATAAATAAAGAAATTCATGAGTTGGAGAAAATAAAAACAATAAAAAATTAAAAACCATAACCAAGCAAAGGAAGGTACAAAACCTGCAACGAATTGGGGTGCAACAAGCAATGGTGGTTCACAATGGTTGGTTGGGGCTCATAATAGCCACTACTGGGGACGTGTTGCCTGCCGGTGATGGCTGGAGGTGGCTGTTGTGCGTGGATCTAGGGTTAAGGATGAGTGGAAGAGCAGAAGTCAATGGGATCGAGAAAGGAAAGGGAGTGGTGTTGGAGGATGGTTCGAAGGTGCGCGGTGGTTGGTGTGGTGGTGAAGAACCGGTGAGGTAATGACCGTTTCCAATGAAGGGGTCGCAAATCCAATTAGGGCGCAACTGGCAGTGGTGGTTTGCGGTAGTTGGTTGGGGCTCACAATAGCCACTACTGGGGACGTGTTGGCTGCCGGTGATGGCTGGGGTGGCTGTGGCGCGCGGATGTAGGGTTGAGGATGAGTGGGAGAGGAGAAGTGAATGGGATCAAGAAAGGAATGGGAGTGTTGCTGGATGGTGGTTCGAAGGTGCGCGGTGGGTGGCGTGATGGCGGAGGACCGGTGAGGTAATGACCGGTTCCAATGAAGGGGTCGCAAATCCAATTAGGGCGCAATTGGAAGTGGTGGTTTGCGGTGGTTGGTTGGGACTCACAATAGCCACTACTGGGGACGTGTTGGCTGTCGGTGATGGCTGGAGGTGGCTGTGGCGCGCGGATGTAGGGTTGAGGATGAGTGGGAGAGGAGAAGTGAATAGGATCAAGAAAGGAATGGGAGTGTTGTTGGATGGTGGTTCGAAGGTGCGCAGTGGGTGGCGTGACGGCGGAGGACCGGTGAGGTAATGACCAGTTCCAATGAAAGGGTCACAAATCAAATTGGGGCGCAACTGGTAGTGATGGTTCGCAGTGGTTGGTTAGGTCTCACAATAGACACTAGTGGAGACGTGTTGGCTGCCGGTGATGGCTGGAAGTGGCTGTGCTGCGCAGATCTAGGGCTGAGGATGAGTGGGAGAGGAGAAGCGAATGAGATGTAGAAAGGGATGAGAGTTATGCTGGTCGTGTGGGCTTAAGGGTGATGTAATTAATTGTTAATTTACCGACGACTAACTATTCGTCGGTAACTAATTGTTAATTTACCGACGGATATATCCGTCGGTAATTAATTCTTCATTTACCGACGAATATATCTGTCGGTAAGACCAAATTTCACAAATTTATTATATCTGTCGGTAATGTCCGTCGATAATCATTATTTTTCTGACGACTGTATATCCATCAGTAAATATAGGTCGGTAATAAATGATTTTCTTGTAGTGCGGTAAGAATATTTGTTACGTTAATTATCAGGAATGAAATGAATATATCAATTGCTTAACACCCTAACCCTAATGCTGGAAAATCTCTTAATTGTGTGAGGAATCAACATTTATTAGGTTTTCTTATGAATTTCATGTATGAGGAATCAACATGGATGATTTGAGTAGGTGACATCAACATTGTTAGGTTATTTAACGTTCTTAATTGATATAGTCATTACAAAATCTAATATTAATCACTTTTGATAATTTTTCTTATCTGATGCATATTTTTCTTCATACACGAAATTCCAATTATATTTTACTTAAAAAAAATTGAATTGAAGTAATGTTTAAGAAGGAATATGAGAAATAAAGTGGAGCTATTACAAAAGGAAACTACGTGGTAATGTTACATATGAGAAAAACTGTAACCAATATTTGAAAAAATGAAAGAAAGAAAAGACGATGTAATTGATTATATATTTTGAAGCCACGTTTCAAATTTGATCTCTGATGCATAGCTACTGTTGACCAGTCTTTTGTTGATAATCTTGACAAAGCTTTTGCACTGGAGAATATAATATTCTTGGGTGTCAAGATAACTGAAGAAGAAGATAAGCAGCACTAATAAAAAACTATGTACTGTAAACAAAATGAGAATGAAAACTAGCTTCATTCCCACATGTTTTCTTGTGATGCAGTGATCAAATAACATGAAAATTTAGAGATTGGCTGGAGGACGACGATGACGAGGAGGACCACTATGCCGAGGTGGGTTACGCGCAGGTGACGGAGGTGGACTTGGCATGATACCCAATTTTCTCATTTTAACATCTGCAAATTAAGATCACAGGATGTTATTAACTGTTCAATATATGTATGCATATGCTTCTAAATTCAAGAAAATGTACATGGACAAATAAATTAATCTACCAAACACATTGTGATCATACGATTTTAAACACACGGTTGCATATCATGAATGAGGTATACAAACCTGCAGTAACTGGAGTAAGATGTGCAAAGAAAGAAACGGTGATTGCTAGCAGAACAAGGAATGGTACAAACATAGAAGAAACAGTTATCCGAGCCACATTCCAGTGTATCTTCAGCTCAAACCAAATTCATATACCAACCTTTATAATTCATGTTACATTTATTCGAGCATTTTTTTTCAGTGTTGAAAGTCACACCTTTAAAATTTAACCATTTTTTTTCTATTTTTATCTTGAAGTTAATTTTTCAGACTTTTTGTTAAAGACTATATCATGTTATATGTTTTAACTATATTATGATATATGTTTTAAATTTTCGTTAGATTATTGTACTTATTATCCATTAATTTTACGATGGAATGAATGTTTAATCTTCGGTTAAATTTCCACTTCATAGAGACGACAAATTACGTAGTAATGATGAGAGGGTAGGTATAGTTTGGTATATAATATGAAAAATGGAAGACTCGCCACTTGTTGTCACCGAAAGATATAAAAGCAATAAGGTTCTTAGGGTTTATTCGCCCAGAAAAGTAATCTCAGTAATTGAGCACTCAAAAAAGAAAAGGGAAAAAGAGACTTCCAGCCACGCCTATACATTTTATATTGAGAGGGTGTGACAAAAATAATAAGAGCAGAATAAAATTTATTACTTATTAAATGAATCCTTGTGCTTATGCAATATTTTTTTGCTATATAGAAATGACTTGCATTAGATTATGGTAGTTCATTGTTTTACATTGCTCCTGCACTTTGTTGTTCTTTCTTATAAGAAGAAAACAATAAAAATTCATCAGTACGTACATATCATCTACTTAACTATAAATAAATAAATAAAGCCTTTTATTCCATCTGAATGTAATTGAAACATATTATACATAAGGCCCTTATGATTTATTTTAAGATTTCAGGGATGAAGTAACATGAAATAATGGAATGTTGTTGAGTAATTGTATCTGACAGTATAAAATTAGAAATTAACTAATGGGTGGAGGAGAAGCAACACGACGACCAGGTCCAAGTATTGGACCGCGCTTGGGTGGAGGAGGTGGACTGCACATTCAAATCAAAAAGATATATTAACTGTTGAAGATGTATATGATTTTTCACCTACATGGACTAATTAACTCATCAGTTTAATCATAAATACGTTTTAGTCCTTTTAAATTTCTCTACGTTTCATACTAAAAATTATAAAATGTTATCTAAATTGTTTTAAATATTAAAAGTGATACCATTTTCAAGTGAGAGAAACTACACTTATATACACAAACATGCATGCTTTTGAACATATATTTGCATTATTTCAATTAGAGAGAGAAACCTGCATCAACTGGAGGAAGTTGTGAAAATAAAGTAAAGGAAATTATCAAGAGCAGAATAAGAAAATGTGGAGATATAGAAAAAAGTACGAGCCACTCCCAGTTTATATATACATTTGTTGAAATGAAAGATGAAACCAAAACAATATATACCAGCCCTGGTTCATCGTCATCCATATTTATAGTGCAATGGAGTCAATGTTTCGTATATTTGAGATTTCAATGAAATTTCCCAAAAGAAAATGAATGATGCCATACTAGTTAGCCAAAAACAAATTGAAAAAACAGCTGCAGGGCTTTTGGTAATTGATCGAAGAAATATTTAATTTACGTGTAAATAAAATCCAACTATTACATGTAAATACAAGTAACAAAGTGAAACATTCCCATAATTGTATTTGAAGCACCATCTCGAATCAACTACAGTCACGATTTTACTAGCGAGAACAAAAAATGTCTTATGGGAGTGGGAGAAGCAGATTTTCTTATGGGAGTGGGAGAAGCAGATTTCCTAAATGATAAGTGTCTAGTTTGCATCATTTTTAATGTCGCTTTATTTGAGTTTTCTAGTTTATTTGTGTTAGAATTCTCCTTAATTCCAATTGTTTTCCTTCATTCCACACATGTTATTCGGGTGTCTCAGTTTTGCAGGAATAACTTTATTATAGGTTTATAAACTTGGAAACGGGAAGAATTTGATAAAGCATTGGATGGAAAGGAATTCAAGCCACTAAAAGCACAAAAATAAAACCTTGGATTGCATTGTAAAAGAAAAGAGAAAAGAACACTTCAGGGCCTTAAAGCATTGTTAAAGAGCATTTTGGGTGATGTTAAGTGAAATCCACTGGCAGTGGGTTTTTCCCACTGGCAGTGGACTTCACTGGAAAATGACACTGTGGCGTAAAACAAATCCACTGGCCGTGGGTTTTTCCCACTGACCGTGGACTTCACTGGAAAATGAGTATTGGGCCCCTGTCACAATCCACTGACCGTGGATTTTTCCCACGGACTAGCTTTTTGTGACTTGTTCCAGTGCTATTGTTGTGATATCTTGGTGTTTGACAAAATTTACATTCAACCAATGCCGCATCTTTTTTTCCATAATCATTGTCATAGAAAAGCATACACCCATTGACACAACAGTCAATCTTCTTAGCCTCTAATCCCAATTTTGATACTAATCTCTTAGCATCATAATAAGTTGTGGGCAAACCATCTTTTATAGGTGTGACATCCAACAACATTCGTGTCATAAAGTCTAAGCATTGGTCAAGAATGTTCCAATTTGACTTGCAAGATAAAAGTCTAACACATATAGACAATTTTGAGTCCTCCACCCCTTCCAATAAGGGTTTATTTGTTTCAGCCAACGAATTATAGAACCTTTGAGTTGCTTCATTTGGTGGCTCTTGTATATTAACCAACTCGGGTCCTTCAAATGAATGATGTTGCAATAGAGAATTGTACATCATCTCTTGCATTGACATAAATTGGTCTTGTTGAGACATGTGTGCACCACTACTTGAACTATGTACACAATTGTGATCAAAAGTCTCTTCAACATGAGGTATTTGTTCACCATGATTGACCCAAATCCAGTAGTTTGTTTTGAACCCTTGCTTGTAAAGGTGAACTTTGACGATTTCATCCTTCAAAATCTTTGTACAGTCGTATTTAACGCATGGACATCTAATCCCTCCATCACGTTCATAATGCTCATATTGTCGTCGTCGTTCGATAAACTCTTCAACCCCTATAACAAAAGACTCTTTCAAACCTCTTCTACCACTATAACATCTATCATACATCCAACTGCGATTGAAAGAAATACCATCCATGTTCGTAATATTGAAGAGAATAAGATCAATAAAGGAATTGTTTGAAAGAAATCGACCATTAGATTTTGATTCAACTATGCTTCAAATAGAGTGAAAAGACTCAACTAAAACTTTTATGTTTTCTAAAAGTTGATACAAATGAAATTTCCTATAGACTTCAGACAAATAGTGAAATTGCACTTCATATCAATTGAAACAAAATCCAATCTAAACATTTGATTCAACATAAAATACTAAGCTACTTTTATGTTGTCAAATCCAATTTAAAATTTGGATTTTTAAGCAATTAGGCTTCAATAAGAAAGGAATCAGTGTACTAAAACATATTTACATATAAAGATGAATTGAAATTATAATTACAATTAGTAAGCTTGTAATGTGCACATATTGACATAATAAAACTGGTAAGCTAAAAGAATATAAAAACAATTTATTAAAACCTACATGTAGGTACATCATTTTTCGAAGTAGCTTAGTTCTTGTGTTTAGCTATGGTGGATGTATAATGTTTAGCTATAGAAGTATAATGTGAATTGAATAACTACAATTATATAAAAGGAAGAATGAACAAGGTTAAATCAAGAAATGTTAATATTCATGAATTGAACTCACCTCAGCACAAATAAATCCCCTTTCAAAAATCAATATGGATAGTCCTGCAGTTTGAGGAGCCTTTGTTTGGTGTCTGATTTGCCAACACTTAACCTGCAACAGTGACGTTTTAATAACATTTTTAGAATATTGGTTTATTTAGTTTTTATTTTCTTATGATAAATGCCTTTAATTTCTTCCTCCCTCTCCCATTAAGTCATCCTTCTTGCATTTTTTGGTCTTAATTGCGCAAAAAGAAAGTCTAAATAAACAGACTGTAATTTATGTACTTATAATCTTTTTTAACTTGAATAATAAGAAGGAATGTTACAGAATCCATTCAAACCGTTTCAAACCATTAAGTTGATTGTAAAAATGAAATAAAATAAAAACTACACAATTATCAACCTAAAAAATATCATTACAAGAACCTTACATATCGATCCTAAATTGATACAAATATGTAGGTTAGTCGACACTAAACCGATACAAATGCGATTTTTTGAGAAAAGAATATCAATAAATTTTTATTGAATCACACTATCTCGCTCCAAAAAAAGGACTAATTATCAACATGAGCTTAGTATAGTGTCTTCCTATTTATGAATATTCTTTTAGCATGTGACTACAACGAAAGGTTGGTCCTTTTGTCCTATTAAGATAATTTGATCTTAGTAAGATTGTCATCATGTCACAAAACTATTTATTTACATGCGGGGTTGACAAAGTACACAGTGGATGTGGGCAAAAGAGAAGTAATTTTAAAGGGTGATTTTATAGCAAATTGCAATTTCCGAAAGAAACGTATAGAAGAAACACCTCGCAGAGTGTCAATGATAAACCCAAGTCCCTGTCTACATGTTTAACTCACTCTCACTAATATTAATCTAACATGAGTCATATCCTAGCTACAAAAATTAAATTATAAGCAAAACCATTCAAATTTGTGTTACTTAATATTGATACGAATTAATTCATTTATTTTATTCTGCTGCTTAACCGGGTTTTTTGGAGAGAAAATGCTTCAACTTATACACAATAACCAATCGAAAATTTAAAACAACTTCAACAAGGATTTCGTAGTATTCTGCAATTTATTTTATGTATCCCAAATTTTCAATAGGCAGTGTCTAACAAGCACTAAACTTGCTCGCATTTTCCATATGAAATTTCTTAGACGTGTTACAGAATTGGATTAAAAAGAGGAAAATCGGAGAGCATTCAAGCAGTAAAATTTTGGCTAACTTGATTGTTCTGAGATTAAAACTATTGAAACTAGTGCTTAGGCGTAAGGCTTAGTTACTGAAAGTAGAAAATAAGAACTGCTCACGATAGACTGCTACAGAGAACGGAGACAGTAAAAATTATAAACTTGACCCATGCTAAGTCACATTCATAAATAACAGGTGATCCAATGACTCCAACAAAAGCCTACATCACATGAAGCTAAAATCACAAGTAGCAATTGAAGCACATCATGTTCAGCCAACACTCTGTCACTGAAATTCAAACATTACTAAATCTAAAACTAGATAAACATCATTAATAAGTACATTTCAATTATGACTTCATACTGAATGTTATCAAACAAGAACAACAATAAATTCCCCCTTGCAACCCTCAATCAATTCCACACATACAAAAACTAGATCACACTCTCATTCCATTCATTGGCTAAGCTACTTGATCAATATTGACATTGAACACCAAGCATCTCAAATCACGAAAAACACAAACTACATAATTATTCCAATTCATTTATCTAAGCGCATTGATCAAATTTTCAGCATAAATAAAGAAATTCATGAGTTGGAGAAAATAAAAACAATAAAAAATTAAAAACCATAACCAAGCAAAGGAAGGTACAAAACCTGCAACGAATTCGGGTGCAACAGGCAGTGGTGGTTCACGGTGGTTGGTTGAGGCTCACAATAGCCACTACTGGGGACGTGTTGCCTGCCGGTGATGGCTGGAGGTGGCTGTTGTGCGCGGATCTAGGGTTAAGGATGAGTGGAAGAGCGGAAGTCAATGGGATCGAGAAAGGAATGGGAGTGGTGCTTGGAGGATGGTTCGAAGGTGCGCGGTGGTTGGTGTGGTGGCGAAGAACCGGTGAGGTAATGACCGTTTCCAATGAAGGGGTCGCAAATCCAATTAGGGCGCAACCGGCAGTGGTGGTTTGCGGTGGTTGGTTGGGGCTCACAATAGCCACTACTGGGGACGTGTTGGCTGCCGGTAATGGCCGGAGGTTGCCGTGGCGCGCGGATGTAGGGTTGAGGATGAGTGGGAGAGGAGAAGTGAATGGGATCAAGAAATGAATGGGAGTGTTGTTGGATGGTGGTTCGAAGGTGTGCGGTGGGAGGCGTGATGGCGGAGGACCGGTGACGTAATGACCGGTTCCAATGAAGGGGTTGCAAATTCAATTAGGGCGCAACTGGCAGTGGTGGTTTGCGGTGGTTGGTTAGGGCTCACAATAGCCACTACTGGGGACGTGTTGGCTGCCGGTGATGGCTGGAGGTGGCTGTGGCGCGCGGATGTAGGGTTGAGGATGAGTGGGAGAGGAGAAGTGAATGGGATCAAGAAAGGAATGGGAGTGTTGCTGGATGGTGGTTCGAAGGTGCGCGGTGGGTGGCGTGATGGCGGAGGACCGGTGAGGTAATGACCGGTTCCAATGAGAGGGTCACAAATCAAATTGGGGCGCAACTGGTAGTGATGGTTCGCAGTTGTTGGTTAGGTCTCACAATAGACACTAGTGGAGACGTGTTGGTTGCCGGTGATGGCTGGAAGTGGCTGTGCTGTGCAGATTTAGGGCTGAGGATGAGTGGGAGAGGAGAAGCGAATAAGATGTAGAAAGGGATGGGAGTTGTGCTGGTCGTGCGGGCTTAAGGATGATGTAATTAATTGTTGATTTACCGACGAATAATTATTTGATGGTAACTAATTATTAATTTACCGACGGATATATCAGTCGGTAATTAATTCTTCATTTATCGATGGATATATCCGTCGATAAGACCAAATTTCACAAATTCATTATATCTGTCGGTAATGTCCGGTCGATAATCATTATTTTTCCGATGACTGTATAT